TATACATATTTATTACGAACGTAAATTCTTAAGATTTTATAGATATTTTAGATGTTTCAACGATAAGTTTTAAAATGTATTCATGAAGATATTGACCTTCTTCTATGTTTGATGGTTCTTGGTACTCTAGATAAATTTATGCTTCAAATTGTTGAATACATAAGCACGTATGCGTAAAATTTGATATCACAAATACACACATAAACTTAGCTTTTCCGGTACAGGTGTCCATACATGCAGAAGTCTCTTTCTATGGTCTCGAGATTTAATAATGCAAGAAGAGGTCAACTGCATACATAAGTCAAACACATTGATTAATTTAAGTGTTGACAAAAAAAAAAAAGATACCTATGATTCTTTATTGCTTCTTTCTATGAAACAGTGTGATTGAAATAATCATACTGTATATAGATATTCTAATGACATTAATTTTTTATAAGATTAATCTAAAAACTGTGACACAAACTTCAAACGAAAATACTTATTCATGAAAATTTGACGTAAATTATTGCATAATTAAAAAAAAAATATATGATTAATATAGATAGAAGTTTAAATTTTTATAAATTTGCTTTTAAATATTAATCATTTGTAGTATATTTTTTTTAAATTTTGTTTCATTATTTATAAATGCAGTATTCAGCATTTATTTTACTAATATAGGATAATTTACTAATATGTACATATAATATAACAAGACTAATAACATACCAATATAATGAAATATAACTTAAGATTAATGAAACAATCGATAATATAATATAATTTACAAAGAACCAATAATTTATTATTTGCGAATTTTACAATAAATTTAACCTAATTATAAAATGTGAGTAAGGAAAATTGAAATATGTTATTAGATAAAGAGATGCCTAGTTATAATATGTAATACATATAATAAATCATTTTATCACGTGCTTTTGTAAACTGAAAAATTATTTTCATCATTTAAAATTTTACATATAATATTGACTACAGACCAGAGAGTTGCATTGTTGTAAAAATCTGTTCTTTCTGAATGAAGTTTAGCATAATTAGTTATGACACATTTTGGTTTTCAAATTTTTGCATAATTTTTTTTTTAATAATATATTCTATTCTTATATAAATTCAAAATGAGCGTTGTTAAGGTCGAACGAAGCCATTGAGACATTCCGAGGGTTAGTGCCGAGTATCCGGCATGATTTACTGCCCTAGTGGAGTGGGGCATTTCCGCATGAACGATAGCGTACATCGGCGTTTATGACAGGGTCTGAAAGATGTATTGACTTTCCCCGGATACGAAGGACAGGCGCAAGGAAAGGCGAAGAAAGTCCGAGGATACTCTTATCTTAGCTTGACGTGAGAACGGATGAGTTTACAGTCAACTCATTCCCATTTGCAATTTATTGTTGAATAAACCCGTTATGTTCAACTAAAACCTGTTTTGTTTAAATATTATATTTATATAAATGATTTAACGAAGAAGGTATTCCTATTGTTAATGCAGTAACCTTAATTATAAAAAATACACTTGTAAATCTAAAGGAATGCTTTGCCACTGCAATTTCAGAATAAATGATTCATCATTATTGTCATCGTACATCTTCAAGCAACTTTATTGGACCTAATATTTTTCTAATTTTACTAAACTAATTTTAATAATAACAGCTTATTAAATAATACGTAATTAGAAAAAAATTAATTATTTGAAACCTCATACTGTTGAATTCATTGAATTCATGACTTCAGTTTCAATTTTGTATTATTTTTAAATATTAAATACGTGCTACTACGATGTGACTTTTTTGTTGACACATTTGTTCTTCTTTCCAAGAAAATGCTAGTAAAGTAAATTAGAATATCTACATAAGTATTATATCTATCCAATTAAAAAGTTTATACGAATATATATTAATTATTATAATTAAAACACAATTACGAATATATTAATATAACTGCCATTTATAAAAATGAGTAGTGGAGGGGACAAGTGATATAAAATAAGGATACAATTCCTTCTTTTTTATGCGTCTCTTAGCCTCTATGTTCTTTCGCTTATTTTAATGAAATTCATGTTACCTTAAGCAAAGTTGAGTTTGTTCGTTGTTACAGAACTGTCAGGAAAAAATTTGTAATATTATATAATGTGCTTTTCCCTCCTTTTATATTATAATTTTTGTTATTTTCATGTGAAGAATCTGGGAAGTTTGATGGTTATTTATCGATAAATCATTTATTGTTGAAGGCATTTTAAGATTTTATTCGGAAACAATATTAATAATAGCTACTAAAATATAATTATATAATTATAAATTTTCTATTTACTTTTCTATTATTCTTAATTATATTTGATAATATGGTGGTGCTGTATTTATCTTAATATTAATTTCTTTACTAAATAAATAATTGATAATTATAAAAAAAAACTGAAACTTATTATATTTTTGTTATTTTTACATCACTTATATTGTAAGAGTACTTGAAAAAGACTTTACATAAAAAGTAAATTAAATATTTATCAAATTGTATACTGTACTTAAAAAAAAAAATGATTTGCGAATCATATATCTTGCAATTGATATTGAATTTAAAAAAATATATGATTAAAAAAATTAATGTTTTTTTTCATTTATATTAATTAATGAAACTTAAATGAATGTATTAAAAAATATTCTATGATACATTATATAAAAGAAATAGTTTTTATAAAATCGTAAAACGTGAGAATTGTTCCCATGTTAAAAAATAAGAATTTTTTATTTATTAAATTTCGATCATTTAGAATAGTAGACAGCATATTTTATCCCAATTTTTTTAGAAATTGAAGTATTCCATAACTTTACATATTCTAATTTATTTTTCATATTTTTAGTTTCCGAAGGAATAATTAAATGTGAATGAAATATATAAATTACAATTATTTTTTAAAATAACTGCATTACTTAATCTATAATAATCTATTTGAATAAATAGAAATATAATTATATACGTATATACATAAGAACTATAGAAAATATAGAACATATATACAACAAAATGAAAATTATTATTTGTCAATAAAATGTAAAATAGAAAAATGTGTAAATTAGTTTTTACATTGTAATAACAAAACATAATTCAAAAGGTAAAAAAAAATCGACATTTTTCATTATTTCTTTAAAAATGAAATATATGTATATAATATTAAAAAGTTTCGATACCCATGAATAAAACATAAAAAACATTATTGCCTATTTCCAATGGACGATTGATTTTATTTTATCGTCGTTGTAGAAAAGATAAATTCATTAAAAGAAAAATTCATCGCATTCTTGCATTTGTGATGCGAATGATGGTTTAACATATATATATATACATATATATAACTACTTGACAACATTTTTACATTATTTTATAAGATTCCTAATAATTACGAATCACACATTTATTTGAAGCTCTTTGTTCCAAATGTAAATAGGAAAGGAACGTATATAAAGGCTGTATTCTATATATATATATATATATATATATATATATATATCTAAATATATCTAAATATATCTAAATATCTCTAAATAGATCTAGATATCGATTAAAATTAGACAAATTGCAAAAACACACGAGAATTAATGCGGCAGCAATGTAGGGGTGCGCGTGCGAGAAATGAATGAGCATCAACGACATTGTCTCATTGTGGAATAAACGTATACGCAAGCCCATCGGTATCTCTGTTCCTTCCTCGCTTGTCAAGTAGTCGAACACAATACGCTGACATGTTTAATGCAGACGCGAGTCGCGCGCCAATAGTTCACCGTATGTCACCATTTTGGACGACTCATTGTCAGATTTATTCTATACAACTATATAACGATTTTGAAACTCCTTCGCGTCATCTATCTCTATTATCTATCATATTATTATTATTATTATTGTCATTTGCGAAGATGAAGAAATCGGTATTTTGTCAGATTTTTATTTTCACGTAATGATTTTCAAATGGGAGCTTAACATTATTGTAATAAATATTGTTTTTCTTTTTTCGTTGAATCACCTGCTATCGTAAATTTCTTTCTTTTTATAACTTAATTTTCTCACTAGTATTAAGATAGAAAGTGAAAAATAATTATATATTTTTATGATTATCATTATAGTAATCATTTTCTTTAAATTATAATATTTACATGTATAAATTTCAAATTCACAATTGATGTTAACTATTTGAGAATTTAACTTATTCTGATGGTTAAGCATATATCAAAGAATACGCGTATACGTGCAAAGTACAAAAGAAATACTAAAAATTTCTTTTCGACATGTACATACTGTACTTGTTTTCACTAATTTTGAAATAAGACTATCCAAGCTGTAGCTGTCCATTAATTTTAACGAATATGTACAATTTGAATATTAATATATCAACTGATATTAAAAATATTAAATAATAAATATGAATATACAACGTATAAAACATAAACATTTATTACCATTACATTAGAAAAAGAATTATTTATAATATTCAAAAGTTTAGACAAAAAATGAATGTAAATGTATCATTTTAAGATCCAAAAAATAATTTATTTTAATATTTTAATTAATAAAAATTCTTATGAGCTTTTGATAACGAGCATATAAAAACACATTGGATTATTTTTATAATACAGCTCTCTAATTTAATTATATTTTTATATTTAATCAATAATCTAAATTAATCATATAAATGAATGAAAGAAAAAGAAGAAATTTTAGTCTTTGATTAAAATTTCTCAGAAAAATGATTCTGTTAAAATATTTTTTCACCTTTATATTTTATATATTTTCAATTGAATTATATATATCCATAGCACATTTCAAAATTAAAGAATTTTACGTTATCAAATAATGAATTGATTTATCTAAGCAAAAAATCCATTAAAATCTCGATAAATGAAAATTTATTTCAAGATAAAGAAAAATTACTTTAACTTAACCATTTGCATATATAACGACTTATGCATAAAAAGAAAAAAAAGATGGATTTAAATAATAATTTAATAACTTACCAAGTTTATCTTTGAGTCCGATGCATTGCGATATGTGTGGGAATTGAAGTATCTTTCGCCATTTTTTACTCTTTCCTTTGTTGCTGTCACCACCGCCTAATAGAGTGTAAAAAAACAAAATACGTTCAGTTACTGTTATATGGAAGTGATTCAAAAGAATTTAAATCAATAAAAAAAACCATACATTTACAATAAAATAATAGAAATTGAAAAAAGATGTGTAATAATAAATTATCGAGAAAATAGTTTTTTCTTTCTATTTATTAATTTAAATATTATCTAAGTTATTCTTCAGAATAATAATATCAGAATTACGCGACTGCTAAAGATAATATTATAAATATATCGTTTAAGCAGTAATTAAATTTTATATATACAACGCTCGAATTCATACGTGAAATGTCACGCACTGCACGTGTGAACACTCAAACAATATCGCTTTATAGAACAGAAAGACCAATGTACAAGAGAGAGAGAGAGAGAGAGAGAGAGAGAGAAAGAGAGAGAGAGAGAGAGAGAGTCATGAATTAATTAAGAGTCTGCGAATAATTTTGCCGGATGCCACGATGAAATAATTACAATTTATGCACAGTGCCTTTTACCCAAATTTAGAGTCGACCTTTATATAAGCATTATTTTCACTGACAGATCTATGATTTGTTTATTATGAAGTGAACAGTTATTAATGATAGATATATACACATAAATATATTAAAACATGTTTTATATAAGTATACGAAACAAATTTAAATAATTGAATTTAAAAATATTATTGTTTATTATTAATTAAAGTATTATTTCTTTTCTTTCTGTAATTATTCTATAAGTATATTTTCTATATTCTAGAACATATAATTCTATATATATATATAAAGACAATGGAAAATTTTCATAAGTTTAACCGTGTTAAGGTTTAAATAAAATTTTTGTTCGTTATAAAATAAATATTGTTTTAATTTTTAAACCTATAATATTATTAAATTATTTCGTTTTTTTTTAATACTGCAGTGATTAACAGCATAATCAAAATTAATATACAAATATATAAAAAAAATTACACTTAATTAATCTTAAATTTTGAATAATATTAATGATCTATATGTGACTAGCTGTATTGTTTTTTTTTTTGCTGATGAAATAAGCAATATATAATTAAAATCTCTTTAAATTAATATAGTTAATAGTCATTAAAATTTTGATAATAAAAACTTAAATAAATTGAAATAAAAACCGAATGATTTAAAAATGTATTATGCCACAATTATATAGTCTAGCGAATCTTATTCAAATACAAAACTTTTTTTAATAGAAAATGTGAACAAAACAAATTTCGTTTATATTAATGTGTGTGCGTAAATGTATATTTATGTCAATAAAAGTAGGAAATATGAGAAATAATCTAATTATATAATGGAAAAATTCTTCATTATATTTCATTTTTATGGAGAAATAAAATACGTAAATTAAAGTAAAATATCCAAGTGTAAAAAACGTCTATAGTGTTTCAGTAAAAAAAGAAATATTTAAAATTGTTTATCTCGTCTAAGAAGAAAACAATTATAATTTCTTCCTATTTTCGTAATACACTTTGTTAAGAATGAAGTTTCTAACATAAGAGAAATAATAATTTGTATTATTTCATTAGATATGAAACAGGCAAAAAACAGAATAGCACCAATAAAATGTAAAAATAAGTACACTTGTTATGTCATCTATTTTTTGTTATTTCTTCATAAGTAAAACTAGATTGCACTTATCTTATTAGATATTTATAATAAATCTTGTCCGATGTTCCGTGTCATTACGCTAAAGAATATATACTAGTAACATATTTAATCTAATAATAAAGAAAGCCATATATATATGACTGTAATGATTGTTTTATGAAAGAATTCAAGAAAAAATATCTAAAAAATATAAATAAATATATATTGAGTTTCTTTATTTTATCATCAACAAAAAAGTTCCAATATTATATCGTCGTAGTTGATAAATGCGTGTTACAGTATTTGATAAGTGTATATCTTCTTTGTTGATTACGTCAGATATTTTTATATCCATATATAGAGTATGCAAAGAGTACGCGCAATTATTCTCCATTTATGAATTAATACATGTGTGTAAAGATATACATGTAAATGTACATGAGTGTAACTGTATCAAAGGAATACGAATACATTCACAGAGGAATTTATAAGAAAACTTTTAGTGTTTCATCTTTAAGCGCAAAGAATATATTCATTCATATAATTTACTATAAATAAACATACAATACTGTACACTTTGAAAATTTATTTTTAAGGAACTAAATAACGTAAATTACTATAAATACTTTTTCTTTTAATTATTAAAATTAATTTTTTTCACTAAACAATAAAAAATTATAGTATATTTACATGTGCCACGGTTTCATGAAATAAATAAAGTTCCTTTTTATAAACATTAACAAAATAATAAAATAACGAAATGTATATTTTTTATTATAATTATGTTTTATTTACTTAATTATAATGTTAAGCAAAACAAACTTATATAACAGTAAGTTTTTATCGGTATTCATTTATCGAAGATTTCAATATCTAAATATTTGAAATATAAAAAAAGTTAATAAAAAACATGAAGATTAATAAAAATTTATAGTTTAATGTTAATGCATGGAAATTGAATCGAAAACATGTCATTATAAAATCCTTGGTTATTGTTAATTTGAAGTTTAGTTTATAAAAATTCAAATATAAATTCCAATGATATCAGAGATAAAAAAAAACACTCGCAAACATGAAAACATACACATAAACACTCACATCCGCAAGTAAAAAACCCTTTATTTTTAGAATTTAATATATTTATTGGCGAAATACAAAATTGTATAGAACATTTATTTTTCTATCTTTTATTTTACTTTCATTAATAGTCTTTTATTTTACTTGTATTAATAAATATAATGAACATTTACTTAAAATTTTACAAAAAATAATACATAATATATATTATAATAATACAAGTTATAAGATGTATGAAACATATTTATAATATTTTATATATAACTTGATAGGTATATTTTATGCTGAAAAAGGTAAATGTGTATTATTCACGAACATCAAGTAGATATGGGGTAGAGTAAAATAATTATAAAAGGTATTTAACCAGCTTACCTAGATATTTTTTTACATAAACAATTTTTAATTATCAATAAACATTAAAAAATCATATATTTTTCATTGACACAATTATTTGGCTAAAATGTAAAATCTGATTATACTATTTTTACATTATTGTTATAGTGCTTTTTCGAAACACGTCGCATATTTCCTACATTGAAATATTTCAAGAGAAAACGAAAAGTTTCTCAGAATTGGTTAAATTGAAAAGCTATTGTCGTTCAAAATAATTTCTCGCTTTCACATATTTATCTTTCCTTTTGTAATCATTATAATTTATAATATATATAAAATTTACAACAAATTTTTCATACATTAATTTAATTGTATGGAAGACTAACACTCTATCACACACACACACACTCTCTCTCTCTCTCTCTCTCTCTCTCTCTATCTCTGTCGCTCTGTCTCTATCTATCTCTTGCGCTACCTTCTTTTCTGATCTATTGCAGATACTTCGATTACCAGCCTCTCAGAACAGAGAACAGGAGCACATACACTTCTTTAAATCAGCACGTGCGTACATAATACATAATATTTGGCACGACGCTTACTCGCATTTCCTATCTCTCTCTTTTTTTTTTTATTTCTTTCCTCACATGCACAAATCCAGTGCTGTACGACATTGCGCGTCGACTGCGTAATATACTGGCGCGTCGCGACGTGAATTCGATTTAGTTATAGCTGCATGGTTTTTCTCTCTTCGTATAAACTTTTATAGTGGGTAGTTACTGCAAATGCAGTCGAAGTAATCTGTCACATATATAATGCCAGATCATGAATGTAAAATGGTTATTAAGAATATTCCTTGGCAAATGATAAATGAAAATGAAAATGAATTTCAGTTTATTTGGGTCAATTTATTTAAAAATTACAAAAGAAGCAAGTAAATTTAATATCATATAATTCTACGTTGGCAATGAAAAACGTTCTAATAGCCTTGGATTTATTAAAAATTTGCAGCATTATTATAAAAATCTTTGTCCATTGAGTTTAGCTAGTTGAGATGGAAGTTGAAAATATATTATTATTGTAAAATTGGAGATAACAATAAATTAGTTAGGATTACGTTTTACAATATTTACTTTTTTGAAGAAAACTGCTTCGTGTAGAGTGTAAATCAGTTGACTAATGAAAAGAGCTGCTATTCTATGAATTTATAACATGTATTAGTTTAAAAATTTTACTATAATAAGTTGTTTAAAATATATAAATAGTGCAAACTTGCAAGATTCTATTCAAAACCCATTATTTAATTTATAAATTTCGTGACTATGTAAATAAAACCTTTGAATTTAATTTGATTTTATAACTGCAATTTAAGAATGATTGCACCGGTTTACTTGAATGTATTTATCTGTACTTTAAAAAGTTATAATCTTAAGAGAGAAAATATTTTCTCAAGTAATTTTATTTCTTTTTAATCCAGTCTTCTTTTCACGTATTATCTTAATTAAACGATAATATATGACACACATATTATATACAGATTGGTGACATTATTTAATAAAGTTTTAAAATAAAAATATGAAATATTGTCAAATGAATTGTAAAAGTGAAAATATATGTGCATATATTTCGTAGTAAAGTAGCCTTAAATTATTAATGTTCCGAATAAATAGTTCTTTCTTTCGAAATGGATAATTAATTCTTTTAGATATTTAAATAATATTAAAATGCAATTTTATAATTGTTATTTATAATTTGTAAGGGTATCGCTATATTTACATTAAATTTATTATATATATATATATATATATATATATATTAATAAACCATGTTTACTTCATTTATTGTTAATGAAAACTTCAAATAGAATAATAAAGGGTTTATTTTAATTAAAGATGAAAGCTAATAACATTGTGATACAATGTTAAATGAAAATACATATGAATAGATTAATTAAAAATAACCTCCTACCTGTAAGTTATAGTC